TTATAAATTATCAAGGGTTCATGAAGGAGGGGGGAGTAGGAGCGAGGGGGGAAAATGAGCTGATACCAAGGGCTCAAGTAGAAGGCAAATGTTTTGAGAATGATGGTGGCAACAAATGTACAAATGTGCTTGACACAGTGGATGGATGTATGGATTGTGATAAGTGTTGGACAACCCCAAATAAAATGATTAAATTTAAAAAAAAAGAAACAAATTTCTGTGTGAGCCACTTTTATCATAGGTTTTCTGTCACTCTCAGCAAAATTTAATCCTAATTAATTAAACATTTGTGGTACAATTACTATGACTAAAAATGCTTAGTTTCTATTTAGTGCAGTTGTTCTCAACCTTCCTATAGCCTTGACCCTTTATATTGTGGTAACCCCCAACCATAAAATTATTTTTGTTGCTACTTCATAACTGTAATTTTGCTACTGTTATGAATCAGGCGACCCTTGTGAAAGGGTCATTTGATCCCCAGGTTGAGAACTGCTGCTCTAATGAAATGGGCTCACGATCCAGAAGCTTGGCCACAGGTGTTACAGGCTAGTGAGCAGGTGACCCTAGTTATGCAGCCTCTTAACTTGCTCTCTTTCCTCCCAGACCCTGATCTTTCACTCTCAGTCCTGCTCTGGATCTTTGTATTATTGATTCATCTTAATGTCCCTAGTACTATGTGTCAGATTCCACCGAACATCGATACGTTGGTTTTTGTTGGGGTTTTTGTGGGGGAGGGTGTGGGGTGGAGGAGAGGTTACTATAGAAAGATAAGGAGCCCTGGTGGTGAAATGATTCAGATTTGACTCCACTGGAAGGCACACAAGAACTCAAGGAGTAGGAGCTTAGACAGAATGAGTGGTTTGCAAATTGGCTGCTAACCTGAAGTTTGATGGTCACAGCCCAACTAGCAGTGCCATGAAAGAAATGGCCTTGGCTTCCATAGAGATTGTTGTTGGTCTAAGTTGCTGTCAAGTGAAGGTTTTTGACCTTTCAGAAGTAGCTCACCAAGGTGCCTCTGGGTGGGTTCAAACCTCCAACCTTTCAACTCTGTAACACATGAGGTCACCATGCATCGAGACAACTTGACAGCAGTTAATAGCAACAACTCGAGGAGAGCACTAAGAGTAGTTCAACAAATTCAATTTTGTAGCTGCCTCCATTCTCGTTTCTCTTTCTCTTCATTTCCTTTGGGACCCGAACTCATGCATTTTTGCTTTGTTTAGCGCACTCCTGCAAGGAGAAGTTCAGCTGTTAACTTTAGTAAGTCAAAGGTTTAAAACAAGTTTCTATTTTAAAAGCAACTGCTTTATTTGCCTTCTTTCTCAGGGTGACTGTTCAACAATCACACTCATAACGTATTTTGACAATAAACATGAAGCGACATTCACTAGAAGTCACTTGCGAACATAATAATCTGTCTGCCCTAACTCCTCCAATTAAGAGCATTGCATTTCTAGGTTATCATTTCTCCCTCTCCTCTGAAGGTCCTAGCTCATGGGAAGCTCATCTCAGTAGATTAAGAGGAGATACCCCCCGCCCCCGAAAGCGGAAAAAAGTTCCGCTGGGCAGAGCTTTCGTAGTACTAATTTTCCCCACTAGGAAGCACCAAGCAGCTCACTCTGAGTTGGCATTGCCTAGGAAATTTCTTTCTGGTCACAGTGAATTTTTTTGTAAAAGCAATTTCACTTGACCTTGTTTTTTGTGATAGTCGATTTAAGAGAACAGCATGTGGCTGTGAAATTTGGGGTTCTGCTTGGAACACAGAAACTGCTGTGATGTTGAACACAGCTTACAAGGACAGCCCTATGGGGAAAACTTAAGTGTACAGTGTTTTTCTCGTTTCAAAAAAGGTGAAATTGTCGATTGATGACAAACCTCATTCTGGACCTCCATCAACGTCCTGAATGGATGAAAATGTCGACTGGTTTGGAGTTCATTCCACCAGGTCAGACTGTTAATCACGCTTTCTATTTAGAGGTTCTGAAAAGATAGCATAACAGTGTGCGACAAAAAGGCCTGATTTGTCACCAGGAATAGGTATCAGCAGTTCAAAAACAAGCAATCAAATTGATGTGAACAAAGTGGAGACCCAAAACCCACCTGCAAGATAATTGCGCAGTCCCTCACCGAAGGGCCACATGGAAGGGATGATAAGTAGAGGGAGCGGCGTAGCACTGATGAAACACCTAACTACCCTCTAGTTCTTTAATGTCTCCCCTCACTATTATGGTCTTTGTCTCACCTCATGAGTCTTGTTAGACCTGCACATGTTCGTTTGTATAATCAAGATGTTAGATGCATGAAAGCCAAGATAGATGACCCTTCAGAAACAGTAATGGGAGTAGTGATTCCCTGAGCGAAGAGATGGGGGTGGGGCAGCTGATAGCAATGATGACCATATAACCCCACTTGAGGGGAAGAAAAACAGAATTGTAGGCGAATGAATGGATACACTGGATGGTGTTAGATACAAATAATAATAATATATAATATGGGTTTCTGGGAGGTTGGGTGGGAGAGGGAGGAGATAAAGGGGAGCTGATATCAAAGAGTTCAAAAAGAAAGAAAATGTATTGAAATGGATGGTGGTAACATTTGTACAATTATGCTTAATCTAATGGAAATATGGATTGTTACAATATCTGTAAGAGTTCCCACTTAAAAAAAATTTTTTCTTAAGGCCTGATTTGTGGCAGATGGGAGACTGATTTTGCCACCACGACAATGCACCTGCTCACTCAGCCATCTCAATGCACCAGTTGTTGGCAAAAACAGTATGCCTCTCCTGTCCCACGCGCCTTACTCACCTGAACTCCCTCAGTGCAACTTCTTTTTGTTTCCGTGAATGAAGCGGGACATGAAAGGACAGTGATTTGATGAAGTAGAAGAGGTGAAGAAAAAAACAGGGAGATTTTGTGAGCCATCCAAACTGATGAGTCTGAAAAAATGTTTCCAAGAATGGAATTTCAGATTTGACAAATGTTTTAAGTGTGATGGAGAGTCCTTTGAAGGTGATAAGGTTGTTTTGTAAAAAAATAATTAAATCATAGCTTTGAAAAAAAATTCTGGGTTTGGGTTTTTTATTTTTGATACTCCTTTGCTATCCCTTACTATACTTCCCAATGCTCATGGAAGCAGCAGTCAGGAAATCAAAAGACGAGTTGTATTGGATAAATCTGCTACACAAGACCTCTTTAGATTATTTAAAAGCAAGGATATTGCTTTGAGGACTAAGATGTGCCTGACCCAATCGATTGATTCTTAGTGAATCTACTATGCACTCAACTGTCATTCTCCTGCCTCTCAATCCTTTGACCTCCTGATCTCTGGTGGTTTTTCCTCCCTCTGACCTCAGCTGCCAATTGCCTTAGTTACATCCTGAAACTGGCCACAATCAACAGCTTCTCCACAGTTTCCATTTGAAAATCCTACTTTCTGATCAGCAACACCAATGCTAACGTTTCGATGATTACTTTTCCCTGTTGCTGAGGGCTTTGAAGAGAGGAAGTTTCTTGCTTCTTTCTCTCCTCGTTTCTGGTAGCTGCTGACAATCCTTGGTATCCCTTGGTTGATGACAGATGCACCTACTTCCACCATCATACAGCATCTGTCTTTCCCCTGTATGTCTCTGTCTTCATGCCTGGTCTCCCCTTGGTAAAACACCACTCCCAAAATATTAGGACTAGATCCATCAGACTCCAGTATAATCTGTTAACTGTTAACTCAAGAAACCAGATGAGGTCACATTCCCACATATAGAAATTAGGACTTCAACTTACCTTTTTTGGAGACATGATTCAATCTATAATCAAACCAAACCAAAGTCACTTTCTATGAGTCCATGTCAACCCATAGGACAAGGTAGAACAGCCCCTGTGATTTCCAAGACGACTATGTGTTTCCAACTCTCTGTGGAAGTAGAAAGTCCAGTCTTTCTCTCGCACGTTCCCTTGGTGATTTTGAACTGCTGAAACATGTAACCACAGAGCCACCCAGGCTGCCTCTCAATCGGTAACAGATAGGATTAAATATTGTAGAATCCCAGTGAATTCTCATTACGAGGAAGAGTCTGGACTAGGAAAATAACTGGAACTAAAGAGCACTGAAATTACAGTCATCCCGGAGGGTGGAGGGTGGGGGTGTATAACGTGCTCCTCTGGGACTTCCCACTAACCTCAGGGCAGACACCTGTGTCTACTCTTTGATCCTAAGAGAGTGCAGCTTTGCAAAGAGTAGGAATGGCCATTCTGGACAGAAACAACAATAGCAATAAATGAAGGTGAAGAACAAAAAAATATTGCCCAAGATCTCGTGAGTTTAAAGTGATCATTCCACTCTATCAACAATTTCCTGTACAGCTTTGTGACATTTCTATTTTTAAAATTAAAGGGAAAAAATAAAGAGAAGGCGTGCATTCTGCATGTTGCTCTGTAACTTAGCTTACCGTACCTTCTTGGTCCACTTGGCATGGCTCTGTCCGACTTTCTGTCTCAGCCTTGGCCGCCCAGGAGCCACTAGTTACTGGTCAGCTCCACCCTGAGAGGGAGGAGCTACTTCCCAGTCTGTTCCCAGCACCACAGCCTCCTGTGTCCCAGTGACCAGTGGGACTGCCTCCTGCGGACCAGAGGGGACTCTGGTCACTTTGCTCAGGTCGCTGTGAGTGTTCTGTGCAACAGGATGGCTGGTGGACCGGAGAACCGTTTTCCTTTGATTGGAGTCTGTCTGATCTGTCTTAAAGTGGTGAGCTGACCGTCTCAATTCATCCGCAACTATTTAGGGGAGAAGACTGTCAGGTTCTCTCTCTCTCCATCTCGATTGCTTTTTTTTTTTTGAGAGGCTGGGAGGTGGGGAGATAGGAGTCAAAATATTTATGGATCATACCAAGTTTGCATATATTTGTGTGTTTGAAATTAAATGCAATATGCCAGAGAAAGAAAACAAGATGATCATTCTATTAGGAGAACAAAGACTGCCGAGGCATCTCTCAGCAGCTCCCAACTTCGTTCAATAGGCAGATTCAGGGAGAAAAATGAAATCGTAATGTGATCTGCCTGAGAAGTTTGGCGGTAGGTTTTAGTGTTGGGAGATGGTTTGGGCACGTGAATCCTCTGTCTGCATTGATAGATTACTCACGGGAGGCATCAGGATGCTGTGGTAATTTGTTATTGCTCTGACTACGTTTTACATTTTCTAAAGCGGTGCTTTCCTTTGTGGTTCTAATTTTTCTAAACTTTCCCTTTCAGGTGACTTCAACAAAAACAGGTAAACTTTTCTGAAATGCAAACCTTCTCCTCCCTATTTGATTTCAACTTCCATCGCCATTTCACAGTTACTCTGCCATATAATGGTTAAATTTTTTTTTTTTCATTTTAAACCTGTGGTGGTGGAGTTGATTCCAATACAGTGCCCCCAAAATGACGGCACTAAGAAGAGGCAATCAGCACTTACCTGTGTGCTAGGCCCTCAGTCAGGGCAAGCAAGATGAAAACTGGTAGACCAATAAGTAGCTCAGACATAGAAAACAAGTCCTACTGAGGAATCTTTGTTGAATACTGTAATGTATCCAGCAGCAAGTTTGGTTTTTGATTCGGTGATGTATACAATCATATAGACATGCATTTTCTTGTCTATAGCTAGCCACGTGTGAAATACTGTCATGAGTATCATATCAGTCGAAGAAGCAAACTCTTAGTCCCAAACAGTGACGCATGGGAGTTACAGAACTTAACATTTGTCTTCAGGGGAATTAAAGGAGACAACTAGAAAGCTGTTTTGTTTTGTTTGCTTGTTTGGTTTTAAATGAAATTTCCAATATTCCCTACTTTACTCAAAAAGAGCTCTACCTTCCAGGATATGTCATCCTTACTGTATAGACTATGGTCACTCGGAGCTAGAAAAGGGTTTTCTCACAAAAAAGACTTGACCACAACTTTTCTTAAATAAATAAATGACTGGAGGTGATGTTAGAGGCTCTGGAAGCCTCTAGATGGGAACTTTATGTTTATTGGACTTTAGGTGAATCTGTAGGAACCATATAATATATCAGCTATATCACCAACAAACTTTTAGAGCGATTCTGTGTACATTAGAACAACCGTGGTTTATTATTTGGTCTGTACAACAGCAAAGAAAGTGTAACTGGTCAGTTAGAGACTGGTAGAACCCCTGAAACTGGGACTCTTAATCGCCCCTGAGGCCTAGAACTGAACTCACCCTTGGGTTAGAAGAATCAGCTACTTATTATCAATGGGGCAACATGTATCCCAGGCCAAGCCTCAGCGAGGTAGGAAAGAAGCAGGAATGGAGGCAGGGACCACAGGGAGGATGTGGGATACGTGCGGGCACATTAAGATGGCAGTGGATGAGCTGAAGCAAAATGTGTAGTCATTGCTGAATGCAAAACACCTAATTCGCAATAAAAAAGTTTTTACAAAGAAAGTGGAAAGAAGAGAAATCTTAATTGACTTAATACAGGTATAAGAGTGAGCTATCAGTATCCAGAACACCCACGCAGCTACACTAGAGCTTTTACTAATACGATCTCCCTCTTTCGTTTATTCTCTTGGCGGTCTCTTGAGAAACCTTCAGGTGTGGCCAGGAAAGCCAGGGGCAGACTTCCTGACAATATACAAAGTAACTTTTCTAAATGGCCTCTAGCTCTGTGGTCTCTCGAGTGCACCCTCGGCCATCAGAACTGGCTCCACCCGGCCACGCTCTTGGAGCCCTCCAGAGAAGGGGCAGCCTGACACCCAGGGTGCTGTGAATTGATTTGTCCTGGCTTTGCAGTGGCTTTGAGGTGTTTTAGTGATGCTACGTAGAAGGTTTCATTTGGAGGGTGGATGGTTGTGGTGTTTTATTCCCCTTGAGCTCTGGCATCGCTGGCGCATACATGGTTAGCCAGGGGACTCTGTGGGCTAATTTCGGCTGCTTTCCGTTGGTAGCATGCACAGAAGCCGAGGGTCAAAGGGCTTCTTTACTGTTGACTGATCAGAGTGGTTGATGGCATATTGAGAGAATTAAAGATTTCTCTTTGAATGATGACGGCAACAAATGGACAAATGTGCTTGACACAATGGATGCATGCAGGGATTGGGATAAGAGTTGTACAAGCCCCCTATAAAATGATTTTTTTTTAAAGAAAAGAATTTCTCTTTATTAATCTAGTAAGTGGGCTAACCACTGAAGTGAGGAAGAAGGGGGTGCTGATCTTGACGAGTTCATTGCTGGTGCTGCTCAGCTCCTGCCTGGACCAGCCACTGCCAAACAGCACACCTGTCTCTCCAGCCTCCCCAGAATCTCCCTGTACCCACACTTCTCCGAGACTTTCCCAGATGAGCTTCCTTTCCTCTGTCAAAACATGCTTGTCATGGCGCGCGTGCGCTCACACACACACACACACACACACACACACACACACCCCTTCATGGTTTCCAAGATGCCCTTGCACACACTATTTACTCAAAGGACTTGCATAGGTTCACACAAAAGCTCACACCAGAGCCAGGGCTCACACCCAGAGTTCCTGAATCCAAGTCTGCCCATTTCCCGCCACACGACGCTGCTTTTACTCTCTCCAGCCCATCATGCTTCCAGCTCACTGCAACAAGGCGACTTTGGTGGGGCCTGTGGGGACACCGTCTGTGCCATGCTTCCTGCTTAGACGCCTTGGAAAGCCCTCCGAGAACGCACTCTCAGGTCTCCAGTGGGCATGACTAGATGGGTGCGTGTTTTTCCAGGAAGCCTCATTAGTGGAGGAGATTAAGATAAACCATAGGAAAAGAAGCCGAAGTTGTTGAGAGACAGCCATGTGGTTAGAGGAAAACAGGCCTAGGACTCAGGTGCAACTGTCGAGGAGCAGAGAGGCATGGGTGTCGGGTGGGATAACAATGGGAGCCCTGCTGGAGCTTTGAGTTCTAGAGAGGAGGGCAGACACAAGCCCTACCTACAACTTCAGCTTCTGCTGGCAAATGACTAAGATTAGAAGGTCTGCAGTGGTTCCCAGTGTAGAGACGATCTTAATTTCCTTTCAATGGCAAAGGAGACAGGTGGAGTGATGTGCAAGGAATGTCTGCTCAGTGACAGTGGAGACTTTGTTCATTTTTGCAGCATGATTATGTCTGAGATGGTGCCAAAGCCAACTCGCTGAGCTATTTGTACAGAAAGAGAAGGTTGTCTGTGATGCGTACACGGGGATCTGGCGGGGGCGGGGGTGGGTGGGTGGTGGGTGGAGCAGGGAAGTGAGACTTGGGAATCACACACATTTGGACTGTATTTACTCTTTCTCCCTCTTTGCCTAGTTTTGTCCTTTAGTCTTGAATTTTGCATTCGGCAGTTCTGCCCAGCTAGTGGAGATGATCAACACAATAGACCAAGTGCCTGTTTCAAATGGGGAATCCAGCAATGTTGCTTCTACTTTCCTTCCAACTGGATTTCCAACATCTAGAACATTTTGATGTCTGTGGATTTTTGTAAAGTAGGAATCTGATTGGCATGTTATAGCTCCTAGCCCATACCTAAAGTGTGTCATAGATTCACGCTCCCTGAGACAGTCGTGACCAGGCCCAGCCAGGTGAGGCGTGACAATGTCATCTCATTTTATGCTAAGGTGGAGGTTTGTTTGTTCGCTGTATGGCTGTAAATAGGCCTACTCCTTATGCATTGACTATCTTGTTAGCTGGCATTTCATATCGACAATAGTAGTAAAAAAAATCTAATATCTGACTATTTTACACCTTAACAATGTAAGTCTGGCACTAGATGACATCCAGGTGTGACATGAGAGGAATACTGACTGTGAGGGTGAAGGTTCTATACCAACCTGGCGGGGCTATGACTCTTAGTGGCTTGGCACTTGGCACTAATCTAATTGCACAGTTATGTCGTGATACAATTAGCCTCCCTTTTGTGATCTGATGATACATCATAATATTTGCCAATCTAACATTTCCCACATGCAATTTAGAGACATCAATAACATTAATCTAGTGTGATCATCACCCATATCCATTGCCACATTTTCCATAATCATAAATAGAAACACATTGGTTCCTTCCTCCCACCCCTGGCCACTAATAAACATTGGACTCTCTACCTTTGCCTATTGTCGTAGTTCTCTAGTGCTGCTGGAACAGAAATACCGGTAGCAGGTAGCCGGAACAAATAGATATCTGAACGGTTCAGGAGGCGAGAAGTCCTAATCCAGGCTGCCAGGTTTAGGGAAAGTCTCTCTTTCTGCACCAGCTCCGTGGGAAGGCCCTTGTCTCTTCAGCGTCTATTCTTGACTCTGTGCCGGGCCCTCCCTCTCTGTCTCTGTGCCTTTGCTGTGCCTAACCTGCTCTTATTACATTTCAAAGGTGATGGACTTAAAGCATGTCCTAAGTCCTAGGGCCCCTTCACGTGACAAAGAAAACCCATTTCTAAATGGGATTGTAAGATACAGGGAGTTGAAAGAGCAGCACACATTTGGGGGGACCTACCCTTCCATTCGTAACACTTATGCTTGATCTTTTACATAAGTGGGATCCTACGGCATTCATCCTTTTGTGACCAACTGACTTCACGCCACAGATTTCCAAAGTTCGTGCATATTGTTGCATGGATAGGGTTTCCTGTCTCTTTGTAAGGCAGGTCTTCTGACAGAGCCTGCGGTCATAGTTTTTATTTTGTAGAGATGAGTATGAACATTGCCCCACGCTTAAAATAAAGAAAGCGGCTGCTTTGATGGAAGGACAACAAAAAACTGCCCTCCTTCTGCCTTTCCATGGAATGTCCTTGGGAAGCAGGCAGGGTGCGGCGGCGGTGGCCACAGTGGTAGGGCGTGAGGGGAGGATGGAGACGGAACTTTGCTGGAGATTGTGCGGCCCAGTTGTGGGCCTGGAGGGGGGCTTCTCGCACAGCAGTCCAAAAGCACACAGAGACAAATCATCCACTAACAACTGGGAAAAACTTCTCTGAAACCCCATCACCGAATGGGAGTCAAATACTTCGCCCACAATGTGAGCTTTCCGGTTCTCTTTTGGGAGAGCAATCTGCCGTTCTTCTCTGGGATTGGCTGTGATCTGCAAAGTGATGGCCAGGCTTATGCTTGAGGACGGCGGGAGAGGGTTTCTCCTCCTTGAAATGTAAACTGATGGGAAGCATGATCCTTCTATGTGTCCTGACTAATGTACCACCTCAAACATCTCTTCCAGCTCCTGAAATACCCACCATCGACCAAGCATATTCAAAGCTCAGCAACAGCATCACCGTGGAATGGGCTACAGTGCCAGGGGCCACCAGTTACCTCCTCACGGCTGAAAACGGGGGCACGGTCATTGAGACCATGGTGGTCCATTCCCCTGGCACCGTGACAGGCCTGAAGGCTGCGACCTTGTACCAAATCACCGTCAGGTCCATCAGCGCTGCTGGGAGAAGCCAGGCATCCCCTCCAAAGCAGGCAAAGACAGGTCGCACTGGGTGCTCGTCCTCTGGGGGCTGCTTGCTTGTGTCCTGGAGCCATGACACTGAGCCTGCAAGTAAATGCAAAACGTCATTTGGCACCATCTGAGCACCCACAATGCAGGTCTCAGAAGCAAACGTCACCAAATGACATTTTTTAGGAGCTCAGTTGTGAGTGAGTGTGTGTGTGTGTGTGTGTGTGTGTGTGTGTGTGTCTGTGTGTGTGTGTGTTGAATTTCAATATCAGCTGCTCTGCTTTGCTTTGCTTTGCTTTGGAAAATAAAATCCAATTCTGAATGTGTTTAAAAGCACCCCTACCTTAAGATCCCTGGAAGAGTGCTCTCTGTTTCACCTCGGCCAAGAAGACCAGGCCAGATCACAACAAGAAGAGATCTTCTGGTGCACTTTGACTGCCTGGCATACATATGAACAATAATAGTGGCTATTACTCAAACTACTTTAATAAAGTTGAACCTAGGTATATTTCGGAGGGGGAGCCCTGATGGCGTAGTGGGTTAAGTATTGGGCTGCTAAACGCAAGGCCAGCACTTCAAAACCACCAGCCACTCATGGGGGAAAGATGAAGCTGTCTATTCCCTTAAAGATGTATAGCCTCAGACCCCCACAGGGCCGGTTCTACCCTGTCCTCTGCATCACTATAAGTCAGAATAGGCTCAATGGCATTTGAGAATGAATTTGGATTTGAATTTATATTTCTGAGAAGTTACTTACATATGTAAAAATCATTGAAGCCATAATTTCCCCATTAATATATACTGTGATCACCCCACCTAAACTTCAAAAACCCATGGCCATCATGTTGATTTTTTTCAACTCATGGACCCTTTATTGCAATGGTTCTCAACCTGTGGGTCACCACCCCTTTGGGGGGGTGTCGAATGACCATTTCACCGGGGTTGCCCGATCCATAACAGTGGCAAAATTATAGTTATGAAGTAGCAACAATAATAATTTTATGCTTGGGGGGGCTCACCACCACATGAGGAACTATATGAAAGGGTCGCGACATTCGGAAGGTTGAGAACCACTGCCTTATTGGGTTCCTGCGGCTGTAAATCATTGTGGGCATAGATCCCACACCTGTCTCCTGCACAGCGACTGATGGGTTTGAATCACTGACCTTGTTAGCAGCCCAACACTTACCCGACAGTGCCACCAGGGCCCTGACTGTCATCCCAGGGACGTTTCATCTAATTTCTGACCCTTCTCCAGAGGATATTATGCCTGATAATTGTTTCCCATCTTCCCCATCCCTTTGACCAGTCCTTTATGATTCACACACACCGGAGCAGCAAGTGCCTGAGGAAACTCGGCTGTGGACCCTTTTGCAAAAACAGGAAGGGAGGACATGGGGAGCCAGCTCACTGAGGCGGTCGATGACTTCCTTTCTAAGTGTGGATTACCCTGTGTTGGACTTCCTTGAAGTCAATACATGTCTTTTTCTTCTTCTTTTTGTCTCTTTAGTATTGGCTGCCCCAGTTCTAGCAATAAGCTCTCCGAGTCCGGACTCTATTCTCGTGCAGTGGGAAGCGGTCTACATGGCCATTGGATTCTCGGTGTCCATCGTGAGAGCCAACGGCTTGGGTCGAATCTGGAAAGAGAACACTACAAACACCTCCTTGACATTCAGCAACCTGGATGCGGGGACGCTCTACACCATAAAGGCCTGTGCATGGAATGCCAACGGGGTCCCTGGGGATGACTCCACCCGCAATCAGAGAACCAGTAAGCAGCTCAGCCCAGGCACGCTCCTTTCTGATGAACGCGGGGCATGGGCATTGTAGCCCTGCAGAGCAGTGTAAGTGATAAGTACAGAGCAGCTGGCAGCAGCTATTTAAGTTGATGATGGAGTTATTTATAGCGCCTTGACTATTCCTCCTCGGTAATTTAACTGCTTACTGGATGTGTAAAGAGTGCTGTTCAGAAGCAGAGAGCACAGCCCGTACCCCCCCACACTCCTCATCCCACCCCCCCGAGCCAACTCAACTCCAAGTCCCCTCCCCATAGTGCACAGCACGAAGTCACTCTGGTTAGGGTTTTCCTGGTTCCTTCCTGGGACCAGGCCAAACGTCTAAACAAAAAGAATGGTACCAAACAGGAACCTCATTGATTCAGCAGACATTTGATGAGTGTATGCCAGGGCTCCTGGTGGTTCAGGGGTTAAGCCATGGGCTGCTAACCACAAGGCCAGCAGTTTGAACCCACCAGCCCCTTCGTGGGAGAAAGAAAGACGTTTCCAGCTTCCGTACAGCATTACAGCCTCAGACACCCACAAGGCCAGTGTCACGCCGCCCCATCGGGTTGTTATGAGTCAAAATCCACTCGATGGCTGTGAGTCTGGGGCTTGCCAGCTGTGAGCCGACATCACTCTAGAGATGCAGCAGCAATCAGAGCAGAGTCCCCGCTGTCCTGATGCTTACACTGCACGTGAGTGGGCTATCACGCATTTCCCAAAGCGGCAGGGAGTGGGCTGAAGGATAGAGAGGGAGGAAGGGAGGGGTAGAGACTTTGTCTTCTCTTGAGGCCGAGTAAGCCATGCACTGGCAGGTGGCCCAGTGAGGCCAGGCTGTCACCAACTAGACTGTTTAGTATCTGGGAGAGAGCTAAGGAAAGCCTGGGAGGTGGGGGTGGAGGGGTAGGGAGAAAGAAACCAGAATGTTCTCTCCAACGGTTCCTAAGTTTCCTTATGAGTTAGGAGGGGAGCCCACTGTGTGAGGGCGAAGAGAAGGATTTGCCTTACTTCTCTGCAGAGAAATCATGAGATAGTTCCATAGGTGAATCATGACGGCCCTGGTGAATGGGGGGCGGCCATGACCAGCCAGTCTCCCTGAGAATTTTCCTGCACATGCCTGCTTCCCTGCTTTCCACCAGCGCTGACTGAGGGCCCACTGTGTGTTAGCTATTGTTCAGTTGCTATCAAGTCAAATGAAACACGAACCCTCACGTCAAAGAGCTCCTTGTGTCCGAGGAGAGACAGATGTACGTGTACACCACAGGCAGCCGTGCAGGCCAGCAGGTGCTCCCATGGAAGCGTGCTCAGTGTGCAAAGAGGGCTGGGGGCTGCAAGAGCCATTTCCTAGGGATGAATGTGTCTTACAGTCATCCCCTTTATTTGTTTCCTCGTCTTTTAAAAGGGCTTCGTGTCTGGAGTTAGCCTCCTATCCCTCATTTTCCCTGGTTCTTTGATTCCCACGTGGGAAAACAGGGTCCTTTCAAACACTTCAAGGCCCAGAATGACCCCACCTATAGAGATGGCCCATGGGGGAATGAGTTGGGTCCCCATGTCTTCAAACAGGGTCCACTCTTTGCTCCCATCTGTGTTCCATTCCATATGTGTCCAGTTTTCTAAAGCCTGACAGACTCTCAAAGAGGCCAGTGTCTCTCCTCCACAGCCCAACAATACAACTCCTCAATCTATTCAATGAGAGAACACTGGAGAAAGGGGAGCCGTGTTTCCTAAGAGTATGGGGGAAAGGGTTTTGGGTAAACCAACAAGGTAACATGGTCCTCATATTTAATACTGTGCGTAAGAATGGAAAAGAAGTCTGCTCTTCTAGAAAAAAATACGACCTGAAAGCTGTTGCAGAAAAAGTCTTAGCAGGTATCAAAGCAGTGAAGGGATATTTTTGAAGCTAATCCAATAGTGAGAATATTTGATCGTGGCTGAAGGCCCCTGTAGCCTTTCACATTTACAATTTCATTTAATTCCTTTAACCACTTGTCAACTAGCGCATTCATTCCAAACATATTTAGCACCTATTATCGGCTAGGCCTGGGTCCATGTTTGGCGCAAATGGTTTGCAGTCTACTATTCACCTAAAGGTCGGTGGTTCAAAACTAAGCAGCAGCACTGTGGAAGAAAGGCCTGACCATCTGCCTCCATAAAGATTATAGCTAAGAAAACCCTATGGGGTTTTTCTCTGTAACACAGAGAAATGCCATGAGTAGGAATCAGCTCAATTGCAACACGTTTGGTTTTTCAAGTTTTTATGTTCAAGGCACAGATCTTAGACAAATGTTACAATTAAGGGAAAATTAAATAACAATGTGATTAAATACCGAGGTCACATGTTCATTATGAGTTGGTATAACTAATGGAAAAGATATCACCAGTTCCCAGGTACCCTAAATCTCAACTTTGTTTTCAGAACACTTGCAATTGCCCTTCTACTGAGGTACCTCCTCCTTCAACATTGTTAAACCAAATCATACTTCGATTCTTTTTCTTAATTTTTATTGAGTGATCATACTTCTTTTAATGTCTTAGATAGCTAGTTCTATAACAGAAATAACCCAAGAGGAGGACTTTAACAAACAAAATTTAAAAAAATCATTTTATTGGGGGCTCATACATTTCTTATCACAATCCATCCATATATCCATGGTGTCAAGAACATAACCAATTTTTCAACACATTTGAAGGGATAAAATTCAATCCATAACATTCCATTCTTTGCCCCTGAAATTGTTTTCTTTGTCACAAGCGAAGCACATTTCCTCCATCACATCATCCCCACCATCTTAAATCAACTCTAATTCCAAAATCTGTTCTTATGACTCAACGATGTCAAACAGGGGTGAGATTTGAGGTGTCCATCATCCTGGGGCTCACACTTGGATACTGGAGGGTACTGCAAATCTTCATGGGGCCTTCTCAAAAATGCAGGTCCTCATGCTCCTGCCAACATTCAAGTTGCTTTTGACAGCGGGACTCTGAAGGCGTCTGTTTCGTGGGCACTGACAGAAGGAGCTTCCAACTACACGGTGCTGGCTTTGGGCGACTCTTCAGAGCTGAGCTGCAGTACCCCTTTCAGTTCCTGCACCATCTCTTCGCTCCGCTGTGGGACAGAGTACTTGATCTCCGTTGTAGCGAGTAACGAGGCTGGATCTAGCAAATCAGCTTCTGCAGTGGACCTGAAAACTGGTATGTAAATTTGAGCGGAAAGCCTTTGGGACTGGCAAGTCCAAGTGACTTCCAAAGGGAAATAAATAATCACCCAGTTCTGTTCTAGAACATTCTGGAAGAAGTGAAAAGGAATGTCCAGTCAAGGGGGGAAAGCACTGAGTTAAACACTGATGAAGAATATCGAGGGTCAAACCAAGTACCATGCATTGGAAACATGATTTCTTCAAAAATAAGACATGCTGGTTCCTAGTCCAGATCTTTCATTAACTGGTTGTTACTTCATTTATAAAAGTTGTGAAATCCCAAGCTGCAGTTCGAGTACCTGCAGCTCTGACTCTGTAGTACGGTGAACGGCCTTTTCTTTATCTCATGCTTCACCCAGGCCTTTAAAGATAAAGAGGGGATGTGTATCAGTTCTGCATACGGGTTTGGATGGTTCCTGTTTCTGTTCTTCTCAGATTAAAAAAACAAAAATACCAAATGGAGGGTAACTCCTCTGTCTAGAAATATGCGTGTGTCCCGGGGCTGGAGACTAACCTTTAATGAAGGCCTACCAGGTCCTACGCATTGTTGCCAGTGTTGTTGACTCGTTTTCACTTGACAGTGACTCCACGGGACAGAGTAGAACTGTTGTTTCTATGGAAAGATGTCTAGTGGCCCAATGGTTACTCGTTTGGTTGCTAAAAGTCAGTGGTTCAAATCTCCCAGTAACTCTGTGGGAGAAAAGATTTGGCAGTCTGCTCCCAGAGAGATCACAGGAAACCCCACAGGGCAGTTCTGCTCTGTTCTATGAGGCCCCTAGGAGTTGGGGTCAACTCAAGGCACACAACCACAGCAATCTTGATCAAAGACCATCAGGTCTTAACTCCTACAGGGCGACTGGACGGGTTTAAACCTCCAACCTTTGATTAGCAACTGAGCGTTTACCTCTTGTGCCACTTGTACTCCTTGTGCGAAGCACTACAAATTAAATACATTTAATTTGCATGACAACACAGTGAAATAAACTGTATTAATTCCTTTTCCAGATAAGAAAATTGAAACTCAGGTTAAATCTTTTCCCCAAGGGCACATGTACTAAGTGGTAGATTTGGGGTTCAAGCTCAAATTTGCCTAATTTCACTACTCTACATCAAACAAAATGCAGATAATTTTTTAAATGTCTGCTTTATCGAAATGTCAGACTTCAGTCCTTCTAAATTTAAAAGGGAATCCTGGTAGTGTAGCTGTTAAGACTTGGGCTGCTAATTGCAAGGTCAGTGGTTCGAAACCACCAGCTACTCTGCAGGAGAAAGACCAAGCTTTCTACTCCTGTGAAGAGTTGCAGTATCGAAATTCGCAAGGATAGTCTGCTTTGTCATTTAAGGTTGCTGTGAGTCGGCACCAACTCACTGGCCATAAGGTTTTGTTTTGAAGTTTAAAATACTTTAGAGCAGAGAGGATAAGAGCATCAGTAAGCCGACACTCCCTATTCCACAGGAAAGAAGGAGAGCCAGCCCCTTGGACCCTATTCGGATTGAATGGTGACCCTCCAAAATACATGTTGGGATCCTAGCCCTTAAACTTGTGGAAATAATGTTGTCTAGATTTCCTTGTGTCAATATAGGGTGTGTCCTTAGACCTAGTTGCTTAAAATGAGCAGATGAGACCCACACGTGAACCCAAAAGTGGGAGGGAGAGACACCATGTGACGGTTGTCATGGTACCTTGGGATGCTGGAAGAGACACAGCTCTTTCCCCAGCACCCCAGGGGAGAGAGCCTTCCCAAGCGTTATGGTGAGTGGGGTAGATCCCGATGCCTAGTAGCTCTATTTGACAGAGTTGAACTGCCCCGTAGAGCTTGAATTCTAACTTCTAGCCTCCTCAACCATGAAGAAAAAAAATGTTTTTTTCTGTTTCTGACTACTGTGACATTTCTGTTAGAGCAGCATTCGGAAACTAAGAGATTCTCGGCCTCGAGGAGTGTGCTGAGGTCACTGGTAGGAGTCTGTTACGCTGTTCACTACAAGGTCCCCACTCTCTCTGAGGGAGAAAGATGAGGCTTTCTACTCCTGCACAGTCTCAGAAACCCACAGGGGCAGTTCTACCCTGTCCTACAGGTCGCTATGAGTCGGCATTGACTTGGTGGCAGTGGGTTTAAGGGAAGGTCACTAGTACAGCAAACTTGGTACTTGGGCTTCTCTGTTGACCTTAGGCAGCGGACTGGTGCACTGGAGGTGGTTTTAGGATATGCTTGTTGGCAGTGAGTGAAGAGCAAAAGCACTTTCAAGAGCACAGAAGCTGTGCTGATCCTTTATTGCACGAGCATCCAGCCAGTGTTTTCCACACTTGGATGCACTTTAGGAGCCTCTGGGGAGCTTTTCTAGAATCCCAACACCCAGGCCCTCAACCAGAGTTGCCACGAATGGAGTCTGGACATGAATAGTTTGTGAATGCTTCCCAGCTGATTCTAACATGCAGCCAGTGTCAAGTGCCACGGATACACAGCCCTGCACACTTGAGTTTGTGTATAACTCCAAAGGCGATGATTGTGGGAACGACCCCGACTCATCCATAAAACGTAAACTGCATTTAGAAAGCCGCCGTAGCAATGTGGGTTATGGGTTGGATTGCTAACTGCCAGATCAGCAATTCGAGCCCACTGGAGAAGGATTTCTGTTCCTGTAAAGATTTCCAGCCTCAAAGGCCCTAGGGAGCAGCTCTACTCTGTGCTAAGTTAGGGTCACCAGAGGAATCGACTCCACAGCAGTGGGCTTTTGTTGGTATATGTTTCCCGGGACACAAAAATATGTAGTTTGCTTTATAGAGCTTTTCATTAGAGATGACTAAAGTCTTCAAAAGAATAGCACAGAGGAGAATCCCCTTCATTTGGATTCATTCCTTCACAAAACTTTGGTTCATGCTGATGTAGATACATGAGTCACGGCCTGAACACACACACACACACACACACACACACACACACACGCACGCACGCACGGCACAGCACGCACGCATGCACGCACGCACGAGGCAATCTTATTCACCAAGGTGATCCATGCTTGTCGCTGACATTGTTGCAAGCGCCCTCAAACTATGGCCCGCGGGCCACATGTGGCCCGCCGAGGACATTTATCCAGCCCGCTGGGTGTTTTTGCCCCGTTTGTTTTTTTACTTCAAAGTAAGATATGTGCAGTGTGCATAGGAATTTGTTCATAGTTTTTTTTTAAACTATAGTCCGGCCCTCCAACAGGTCTGAGGGACAGTGAACTGGCCCCATGTTTAAAAAGTTTGAGGACCCCTGGTAAGCGTAATATATCGAACTCCGTACCAGGCCCCTTGCTCTTCCCTATAGACATGACCGGAATTAGTGCTGTGTGCAAGTATCTCTGATTTGTCCCATGACAGAAATTTCTTCCCTGGTTTTTGAACACTGATGGGGGTCTTCTCCCTCTTATGCATCATTTGTATTTTTGCCTTTGTACTAATATGGTCTTATTCTTACCACCTCAGTGCATTTGTCTTGCAGTGCTTTCTGTTGGGTTTGCCAGCTGTGAAACACAGGCGGGGTGGATGTATAATGATAATAACTGATACAAGGTGTTGTAGGGAACGCAGGGGTAGGGGGTGGGCGATAGGGAGGGAAAGGAATTTTGAGAGTAAACCACGAAGGTGGGAGGTGAGGGGGAGCACTAGAACTGATTGTGATTGCACAACTCAGTTTAAAGGTGATAGAACCCGTGGGGAGCTGGGGAGAAGGCTCTAAGATAGATGTGGTGGTGATTGTACAATTCCCCTTGATGTGATTGAAAGATTCAACTGTTCAATTGTGTGATACGTGAAGTATGTGCCACTAAAACTGTTGAAAAACAGAAAAGAAAATTAGAATCATCTCAAGTATTTAAAAACGAAACAAACAAACAATTAGGGCATCTGAAAATGTCTTCCTGAGTTTGCACCGGCTTGCGTGTATTACTTACTTGATTTTGTTCTTGCCCACAGCACATCTGGTATCTTGATTGTTGATAGTGCTCCCTGAGGACACAATGAGCAGTCAGGTGCGCTCTGTTTTTCAGCACAGGGGACGTTGCACTTAGAAAAAGTTTCCATACCCCTGAAGCCTTGTACACAAGCTGCGGGTCCTGTCAGAGAGAACCAGCTCCATCCCCTGGCAGCCGTGTGTGTTTAAGCAACCCATCTAAGCTCTAAAGAGCACCATTTCCTTATCCATGAGATAAGGATCCTAGGGAAAATTAGAGAAACCACTAATAGAAAGCACCCAAAATGATGACTATTATTATATCTCGAGCCTAGTTGTGTAGTAGGTTACACGGTGGACTGTTAACTACAAGGTCAGCAGTTCAAATCAACCAGCTGTTCCTTGGGAGAAAGATGAGGCTATCTGTTCCCATAAAGATTTGTGGCCTCAAGAACCCTATTTGAGGTAGAAATGAAATATAATCAATTTGATAGCAGTAGAGGTGGTTTGTTTGTGTATTATTATCTCTTAGGAGTCCTGGTAGTGTACCAGTTAATCATCAAGGCTAATGGAAAGGTTGACAGTTTCAACCCACCCAGTGGCTCCAAAGGAGAAAGAAGTGACCGCGTGCTTTCATAAAGCTTACAGTCAAGAAATCCCTTTAGGCTGGCTTCACTGTACAACAAATGGGTTTGTTATGAGTTAGAATCGACTTGACGGCTCACAGACAGCAAATACGTTCACCTGTATAACTCCATTATTCCACTCGGGCCAGACTTGCTTCATTTCCAGTAGAGCTCAGACCTTTCAACAAATACGCTCAAAGCACAGATCCCTGCATCATAAAGTGACTACTGAATGTTTGATGGTCCATTATTTCATGTAATAAGAGCCTGTGGACAGGCCATCAGAGTTTGGTGTCCTGTTTGCATCATTGCCTTTGAGTTGATAAAGAACATCTCCTGTTGCTTCTGGTGCAGCCTTACAGACCATGTACCCAACTCAATCTGTGCACAGCTCCAGGTTGCTGACTGAGGTTGTCTGGAAGTCTCAGATGATTACAAAAAGGCCAAGAAACTCTCTCACACTTTTCATTTCTGATCATTTCCTAGTTGCTTGTGCACCTGAAAGAGTGGCGATTCAGGAAGATCCCCCTGGCCACTTGTCTGTGGCTTGGCCCACTGTCGAGCTGGGCGATTACTACGTGGCCTTTGTGAAGAGTGACGACGGCCTGGAAGTGCACTGCAACACGTCGCTCACCCAGTGCGATTTCCTGTCGGAGTGCGGCTTCACCTACTTTATCAGTGTTTTTGCCTATAACAAAGCAGGCCAGAGTCCTCTGGGTGATGTGTTTAATTATACCACAGGTAAGCGAGCTGAGGTTTGCAAAGGGCGTTCTGAGTTCTCTACACCCAGATGCGGGATGGCTCGGCCGTGGAGCTCCCTGACTTACACAGACCACCTGGGCCAAGAGCAGCAGAGGAGTAGCTGGTCTCGTGTGCTTTCCAGACTCTGGCGTTTTGACAAGAATGCAGAGCTTGGAAGTGAAAAGAGGGGAAAGAAAGTAGTTGCTCACCCTTGCTCTGAAAATCTTACCAGTTGAGTTAGCGCTGTGCCAGGTGCTGAAGAGACCAGTGACAAAAATGCAAGAGGCTGTGTGGTGTGGTGTGGTGTGGTGTGGTGTGGTGTGGTGTGGTGTGGTGTGGTGTGGTGTGGTGTGGTGTGGTGTGGCGGCCTGGGGAGGAGGGCCCCTGGGTTTAAGTCCTAACTTGACCACGAACTAGTTTATTTGTAAGATACACTAGCGATGCTCACCTGGCTAGTCCCTAGTCTCATGCTTTGCAAAATGGGACTGCTAATAACGAAGATGGGGACCTGAAAAGTCTCTGTAAATCAGTGGTTCTCAGCCTTCCTAATTCCATGACCCTTAAATACAATTCCTCATGTTGCGGTGACCCCCAACCATAAAATTATTTTCGTTCCTACTTCATAACTGTCATTTTGCTACTTTTATGAATTGGGCGACCCCTGTGAAAGGGTCAATCGATCCCCACAGGGGTCGCGACCCACAGGTTGAGAACCACTGCTGTAAGTAGTAAAGCACTGGACGGTTATTTCTATTATTAGTATCATTATTGTTGCTATTTTTCTCCTCCCCTAGGCTTGATTCTTCTACAAGGCAGGGCTCGTGTTCTACTTAGCTTTTCATCCTCCATACTTGTCATAGTGTGGCATATGGGAATGAATGGAGTGGGTAACTTGAAGTTAATTCGTTATATTTATAAATGACACTACAGCCCTATGATGATCTAAGTGACAATATTAGCTGGGTTCCGATAAAGTGTACTCGGATGGGAGGTTCAAATAATCTGTGCCTTTGGAAGTTGGAGTAAAATACTATCAAGACAGTCTCAAGAACACAGAGAGTTCTTCTGGAGGGAGGTCTTTGAACTGGAGCCTAGGGATGGATGGAATTTGGGTGGGGCAAGACATGCCAGAGAAACTGCAAGCTAAATTAGACATTTTTTTAGAATTTGAGGCTCTGCAGGGTCTCATCCAAAACTCTTCAGAGACAGTTATGTTCCCTTTCTCACTCCCAGCTTTTATGTGTTGGTGTCTGCAGAAGGCTGACATGGATGTGAGGAATCGGACAAACTGTTCTCAGGCCAAGGGAAGGCATTCCACCGAGCGATCGGTGGTCCTCGTGGCCTGGAGCAGTGAGGGCACATCCAGGGTGGGAGATGAAGAGTCTGGGACAGCAGGGATGGGGGAGAGAGGCAGCTGGACGCAGCTTGTCCTGTTGAAGAGTTCTCCTCGAGGCAGCGGGCGTCAGGCCGATGGAAGCTGGAGGCCACTGCAGACATTCGGGAGGACGGTGGCAGAGCTCTGGAGCTGGGGAGGGCAGGACCTCGAAGCTCCCCTCTGGTGACAGTGACTTGGTACTGACCTTCCTTCTCTCTTTCAGCCCCCTGCTGTCCCACTGACGTTAACCCTGTGTTCGTGTCTGGGGACAGAGTAGAGATTGTCTGGTCCCCTGCTCGTGGGGCTGAACTCTACGAAACTAAGGCCATGGATGGGGACAGCGTGGTTGAGTGCAATGATACCGCCCCCGCTTGTACCCTTTCGGCTCTGGAGTGTGACACCACGTACAACATCACAGTGCGCTCCTTCAGCGAAGTCCGGTGCAGCAATAGGTCATGTTCTTCCCGATTTATAACCACAGGTACGGTCCCGCTATGCCTTCATTCATTGACATCTGAGTGATTCACCATGGCCACGTCCCTCAGAGGAGTGTCGGTGGTACAGACGGTAAATAAGCTTGGCTGGTGAATAAAAAGCTGCAGGTTAAGTCCCTCTCAGAGGCACTGTAGAAGGAAGGCGTGGTGGCAAGGCAGCCATTGAAAACCCTGTGGAACACAGTTCCGCTCCGCCATGCATGGGGTGTCTGTGAACTTCAATTGGTGTCACAGCAATGGATGAGCCCACGGCAGCTGGCTTTGTGAGCATTCCACATGGCTACACAGAGGTGAATCCAGAAGAGAGGGGCGGGGAGGGCCAGGGTGAAAACCCAACAGACAGGAGGGAGGCCCAGGGAGAAGCGTAGGTTTCATCCTGATCACACGGGCTATTTAGCTCCGCCTGCCTTTGGAGGGCCTCCCTTCTAGTTACACTTGGAAGAGTAAGGCCCTACTTGTTTTTTTAAGAACAGAAATTCATTTTCCTGTTCAGGAGGCTAAAAGTCGAAATCAGGGTCTTGGGCAAGTGGGTCCTTTAGCTTATAGGACATATTCACATGGTATCCGTTTGCCCCTGGGTGGTTTTTTAATTAAAAGATCATTGTATTGGGGGCTCTTACAGCTCTTATAGCAATTGTATCAAGTATATTTGTGCATATGTTGCCATCATTATTTTCTACACATTTGCTTTCTCTTGAGCCCTTGGTATTAGCTCTTCTTTTTTCCCTCCCCCACCCCCATCCCCCAAGTCCTATTTTTTGTCTTATTTGTTTTGGGTTTTGGAGTTCAAAATGCTCTTAAACATTTCCCGGGTGAAGGGTTTGGGGGAGCACATATAATGTATGTGGGGAGGGGGAGGGAGCACTAGAATGGAGGGTGATTCCACAACTCATTTTAAAAGTTAGTTAACCATGGGTGTGGGGAGAGAAAATACTCTAAAATTGATTATGGTGATGCTTGTATAACCCTTCTTGATATGACCGAAATATTGAATTGTGTGATACGTGGATTGAGTGCCAATAAAACAGTCTGGAAAAATTAAAAAACACAAACATGTCCCAGGTAGTCCAACACTCCAAGAACCCAACTCCATAGGTTTGTGTCAACAATCTTCTGCACAAAGGTCCTGGAGTTGGGCCCACATGCCTGGTGTGGTGGGGGGTATTGACACCGGGCTTGGAGGGGGAGGACACTTCAGCTTGAGACCAAAGGGCATTTGTGATATTTTCTGACCCCTGCGCTTTCCACTCAGCGTCTCAATTCTCTTAGGTCCTTGCAGCCCTGAAATAAAGAGTGTTTCGAAGGATGCGTTCTCCGTGGTTCACGTGCACTGGCGATCCACTAATGACGGCGCCACGTACACGGTGACTGCCCACGGGGAGAAAGGGCTGTATGAGTGCCGCAGCCCGGGCGAGACCTGCACCCTGGCCGGCCTGCCCTGCGGCTCAGACTTCTCCATCACGGCTGTGGCGGAAACCCAGGCCGGCCGGAGCCTGCCAAGCTACAGTGTGCCCCTGGAAACGGGTGCGTAGACCCACCAGCCAGGACAGTGACTGCAGTTGGGGCCTTGGGAGTTGTTTTCAGATGCGAATTTTCTGGTTGGAGCTGCCCTCCGTGTGGTAGAAATCTATTACATAAAGAATCCCTGTCTCAGAAAAGAAAACTTTCCACTTCTGGACCTGGGTCATGTACACTGACCCTGAGGAGACACCGACCACTTGCGCCTAAGGAGGGAGCCCGGTGGCGTTGTGGTCACTCACTGAGCTGCAGAACCCCCAGGTCAGCCGTCCAAACCCGCCAGCTGCTCTGCAGGAGAAAGGCAGGGCCGTCTACGCTGGAGTGGTGGTCTCAGAAGCCCACAGGGGGAGTTCTCCCCCGACCTGTAGGTTCTCTATGAGTCAGAATGGCCTCGGGGGCAGCGAATTTGGCATCGAAGGAGGAGCGCATTGGCTTTGTAGACTAGTTCTTTGAGTTATCAGCTGATAAAGTCAAAATCAACTGGCTTATGATTGATTCCCTGGACTCGGCTCTTCCAGCTCTTTCTCTGAAAATGCAAACATCCAGGCTATCAAGTGCCCTAGGCAAAGTAGCGTTTTCCCCACAAACCGCCCTCCGTTGCAGTCAAGTTCTCATACGTGTTCTTTCTCCGCTTCCAGTGCCCTGTTGTCCAGCAGGCTTGACAGTAACTCAGGTCACCCAATCGGTCATCAACGTGAGCTGGACTCTTGGGGCCGGGGCCCAAACCTACGAGGTGGTGCTGGGGTCCCACACTGGACAGTCCAGGTGCCACACCCGTGAAACCCACTGCCTTCTGGGATGCATCACCTGTGGCGTCAATTCCACGGTGGCCGTGAAAGCAGTCAGTGCCACCGGGCTGACAGCAGATTGCGCCTTCCAACGCTATTCCTCCAGTAAGTGAACCTCAAGGCCAGCCATCAACCAACCACAATCCGGGTTTATCAGAGCAGACCTCTGCTCCACAGGGGCTGGGGGTTTGGACGTGGCTTGCCAGGGCGCCTCTGGGTAGGTTTGAACTAGATAGCAGGCAAGCATACTAATGCTGCACATTTTAAAAAGGGGCCAGCACATAGGAAGTGTGGACCAGCACGGTTCGGTTCTCTGCTTGTTGCATAAGTATCTGCCCTATGCTATCCAGCTCAGCAACATTCATCTTTTAAATGACTAGCCCTCTCCTAAAACCAAACACAAACTCCAAGAAGCTCAAACACAAACTCCACCAGCCTGGCTTCAACCCTATAGGAGCGGGTATACTGCCCGCGTGGGCGTGGGGGGCTGGTAACTCTTTACAGGAACGGAAAGCCTCGTGTTTCTCTTGTGGAGTGGTTGGTAGTTTACGAACTGCTGACCTTGAGCTTAGTAGCCCAACTCATAACCCACGATGCCACCAGGGATCCTTTTACAACTCAGTGTAGCCACAAGGTCAGCAGTTTGAAACCACCAGCCGCCAAGGGAGAAAGGCAAGGCTTTTTACTCCCACAAAGAGTCACAGTCTCAGAAATGCACAGGAGTTGAGGTGAGCTGGAATGAACTCGATGGCAGTGGGTTCTAAGCTACTCTAGGAGTCCCTGAGTGGCACGCACAAGGATCACACTGGACTGCTAAGAGAGAAGTTAGAGGGTCAAGCTGGAAGAAAGCCAGTCCTGGGAAACTCTCTGGAGACAGTTTTACACAAGCACATGTGGGCTTGCCATGAGTCGGAATTGATGTGACAGCAACTGTTGCTTTTTTTTTTTAAGCCTTATACTTAATTATAGTTAAATTTAATCCCATTAAAATGGCATGTAACTAGGGTAAAATCCAGGATCTTGCCAAGGTTTCTGTGCAGTTGACTTATAATGTTTGAGTCATGCACAGTGTGCGCCTGCCAAGTGTGAGCCTTTTTGACTCACCATTGTTGCAAAGTACAAAGGCCTGCCCACCCCACCCACACACGGGAAGTTGTCAGTGGCTCACCATAGAGAGAATTTGCGTACCTCTTCCCCCTAACGAATCGTGATCTCCTGAGATCATTGATCAGATGTGGCTGCTGACTCCCCTAAAGGTTTACAGTCTCAGAAACCCACGGCGGCAGTTCCATGGTGCCCTATAAAGTCACCGTGAGTCGGAATGAGCGCGCTGGCGGTGAGTGAGTGCGTGTGCTTTGAAGTAGGTTGTTTATCTTGTGTTCCTATGAAGTCCCCGAGGGGTGCCAGCAGTGAACCTGCACAGCTGCTCCCTGAAAGGCTGCAAGTCTGAGTTTGCGCAGAGGCAGCTGGGAAGAAAGGGCTGGGGATCTACTTCCGAAAAACAACCAGCCTGAGTTGGAAGCAGCTGTGTAGCAGCCGGCAGTATAGGTCCCTGTCGTCATGAAGGGGTTCGCTTGTGTTCTTCAGGTGCCTGCTGCCCTTTGGGGGTGAAATTATACAGGCTGGGCTCGAATGGCATCCGCATCTACTGGCAAGCCTCCAGGGGCTCTGCCAACTACAGCAGTGACCTCTATGGCTCCAAGGGCGTCTTCACGTGTGCCCCACGCTCCAGCCTCAGCTTCTGTGATGTCCCCGAGATCCCCTGTGGAGACGTCTATACCGTGATGGTCTCTCCAGTCGCCGAGACAGGACAGAAGCTTACTTTCTGTCCTAAAAAGATATATTCAGGTAGAGCAAGTTATGGCCTTTCATTTTAAACCCAGCGCCAACTAGATCCGGGGTTAAGACTCGGTGTGACCACCCTAGGACAGTTGAAAAGAGCCTGAAAATGTCCTGGCTGCTGATGCTGGCTTCGGGGGACGAGTGGGAGTGGGGAGGCACACCGCTTTGGAATTTGGCCTCCCTGTTGTATTATTCGATGGGGGGATATGCCTGACCTTGCCTGTCCTTCTCTTCCCCTGTAGAAAGTGGTCCAGATGCGATGCTTTGCTGCTTTCTTGGCAAAGCTCATTAGAAATGGAGATCTGCTTTGAGATTTGGGGGAACGCGGTCTTAGTGATCGGGAGAGACACCTGGGGTGTTGGAAATGGAGGGGCTTGCACCTTGATTGTCACAGATTCTGAATTATGACTGAAGGACCGACATTATAAGTCATCAGCGAGGTTTGGAAATGTGAGTGGGTGGGCAGTGTGTGAGCACAAAGCAGAGTGGTCAGAGTCCCCTTTCTCCAAAGCTGAGGACACCTGTGAGCAAGTCTCCTGCTCTCGACTCCAGCCCCGTCAAATCATTTTCATATCTTTCTAAAATAAGAGGGAGCCTGAGCACTTTTCAAACAGACGCAAGAAGAGCCATAAACATGGGCTCACAGACCTTTACTACTAACCAGGATCTAAAAATTCCAAGTATTGGTTGGTGACACAGAGGTCCAAAGAAGCTCCTGTGTGGGAACCAGGTCCGTTCCTCCTGAAGGGGTGGTGGCCCGAGGGTGTCCGTGCAGGACAAGCTGGCCCAAAGCGTGGTCCATGGGAAGGAACAGGAATAGGTTTTTGGAGGGCGAGGGTGAGCTCTGTAGGCAGAGAAGCCTACAGCTCAATAACACCAATCCAACATGTTTCTATCAGATTTGATCATTGCTTAAGTGTTTCATATTTGTACCTCTCACTGAATGCTCACACTAACCCTCTGAGGTAGGTTCAACAGATTTTATTATCTCTAAATTATAAGCGGATTAACTGAGGGGCTCCAAGGATCCCAAGCCTCTATCCTCAGCTCTGCTCCAAATTTCTGGGGCTATTATTTCTAGACTCCCTTACCTGAAGATGACACTCCAGGTGTTTAAAAGTCCAGGGCCAATATGAACGCCTGCTCTTCTTCTCCTGATGGTTCTGGTTTTCCTTTCATCAACCTTGTTTCAGACACACAAGTTGAAAACCTTGGAGTCAGCTTCCTTTACCCTCCCCACGCCTATCGAAGCACCTCCACACCCTGCTCTGCTCATCTCCCTCATCAAACCCAGCTTCTCTTCATTTCCACAGGCCCTCGCCACCTTGTCCCTAGACCACTGAGCCAGTCCTATCTAGCTTTCCCCTCACTCCAGCTCCCTTTGATCACCAGAGTTATCATTCCAGAGCACCGATCCAACTGTGTTCCCTTTATCCTCAAGATTTCCATTGTTGCATAGGAAAAAATTTAGCTCTTTCAGCAAGACATTCAAGGCCTTTCACAGTTTTTCATAATAGTAGCTACATTTAAAAAGTGGAAAAAATATGAAATTCAGTTAAATAATATAGTTTGTTTAATCTAATATATTCCAAACAGGATGGTTTTAACATGTCACCAATATATTATTAAAAATCACATCTTTCACGTATCCTTTTCTTCCCCATACTAGTCCAATTTTATTTTGTGTGTATGTGTACGGGGGAGGGTAGTCTTTGAAATCTGGTGTGCATTTTGCACGTCTAGTATCTCAGTCTAGCCCAGCAACCTTTCAAGAGCTCAGTCGCCACACGTGGGTATGCATATGCCTCAGAAGTCTGTTGCCGGGATGGAAGTGATGCAGTCCTGGTAAAACCTTAATGCCTCTGCTAACGTCCTGGATTAAATGTCTCCCTTTTTGCTTGGCTTTGCTGTGCAGCTGCCATATTGAACAGCACTGTTCTAGGATCTTCTGTAACATCCTCCCTGGAGGGGTTCCCTTCTCCAGTCCAGTAACAAGGACTCGCTCAAATGCACACACCCTACCCCTCAGCTCCCCCATATACATAAGGTTGCTCTGCTCCACACCTAGAATGCCACCCATCTCCACTTAGAGAACTCACCAGCCCAAATTTCTCTTCCTATCTGAAGACTACTCCAATTCATGTAGACTGGATTAGCTCTTTCCCTCCCCTATGAGTTCCCATGCTCTGTCTCCCCAAACACAAGTTGATTCTTAAGTTTGGTGGTAATGTTTTCCAAGGCTGTTCATCTTTATGGAAGTAAGTTGCCCCATCTTTCTCTAGCGGAGCACCTGGTGGGTTCAAACCACTGACCTTTCTGTTAGCAGCCATGTGCTTTAACCACACTGCTATTAGAACTCCTCTTTGTATTTTTCAAATGTGCCGGTTTTAGTGGAAGTTGTGTACAAGGCATTTTACTCTGGCATCCTCTCAAGTGATTCTTCCTTGCATTTGCCCTTTTCTTTCCTACGTGGCAAGATCTGGCTTTCCGTTCCAGGATCTGTTTGCGGTCTTTGTCCAGTTTTAACCTCGTCATAACCACCTTGCTGGACAGTGGTGCCGTGAACTTTATCTCGCTGCACGTGCTCAATGTAGATGACATATTTCTTCCGGTAAACCTGGACCACTTTGCCAATCTGCTGACCTTTGTAGGGTCCTCGCACAACCTGACCTTCATCATCTTTGCGAATGGGCATGGACCGAACATCGTATCTCTGTCTCAGTTCCTTGGAAAGAGGGGAAGACATAATCTTCCTATGAACGTGGGAGGGTGCATTGAAATGCCTTTTCTGGTCCGAAGTCACAAAGGAATTGAACTTCATTTTGGCCACTACTCCTTCAGTGATGGTCCCCAGGACCCCTCTTTATGGCTCCACCAAACCCAAGCCAAACGTGTTCCCTTTGAACCAATTCCAACTCACAGAGACTCTGCAGGGCAAATTAGAGCTACCCCGTAGGGTTTCTGAGACTATAAAACCTTCACAGATGCAGACTGCCACGTCTTTCTCCCATAGAGCAGCTGGTGAGACACCGTGTCCCCAGGACTCCTTTATGACAGCAGAGCACCCGGATTTTACCACTCCACATTACTGTGAGTCGAGTGTGTGGATCTACACAAAGAAAATGGTGATTTCTCTGACTCATCGTAGTTGGCGCATGTTGTTGAAGTTGTTAGAGGTTGTAGGGTTGATTCTTGCTCACCGTAGGAGGGTGACGTGATTAGTCTTACATTGCTACTACTTTACATTAAGACACTGAGGCACAGAAAGAGGAAGTGACTTGGTCAAGGTCATAGAGCTATTTTGAAGTGGTTACTTGTTGGGTTGCTAACCACAAGGTCAACGGTTCAAAAGCACCAGTTGCTCTGGGGGAGGAAGATGAGGCTCTCTACTCTTGTCAAGAGTTACAGTCTTGGTACTCCAGGTCATAATCAACTCAGTGCAGTGGTTTGTTTATTTATTTTTGCAGTAGTTTATTTTTTATCATCCAAGCTGGTTTTATTCATTTTCTTGATTCACTTTCCTTTTATTCTTTCTTCAGTGGTATCTTTATCATCTTGTGTGTATCAATAAATATTTTTTAAATGCTTGTGTTTTTATTTATTACAGTAACCTGCTCTGGAAGTACACTTGGAATGGGTAAGTCACTTTTCTCATGGATGAATTACTCAAATTCAAAACTTATAAGAAAGGGTAGAACTCCCCCCTGTGAGTTTCCAAGACTGTAATTCTTTATGGGAGTAGAAAGGCCTATCTGTCTCCCTCAAACTGGCTGTTGGTTTCATACGCTAACTTTGCAGTTAGTAGCCCTATGCATTACCATTATGCCACCAGGACATTCCATGGATGAATTAGGAGGATATTTTTTGGTTGCATTTTGGAATGACTTAGTAAAACCAGTTTCAAAGTTGCCTCGATTTCTTTCTGTGACGTGAGGGGTTCCTACCACTTCCCCCCATTCAAAAACAGCAACATTTTTTCTTGCGGATCTGTAGTGATGGTCCAGAGCAGATGATCCGTTTTACAGTCAACAATTCCTACACGTTTTGGTTCATCTCATGCACCGCAGTTCCCTTAATTATCACTCATCCCACTTCCTCCCTGTACTTCACGTTTCCACCTTCGAAATTGCCTAACCCTCTGAACGCAGTTCTTGGTTCAGTGCTGCCCTTTAGGTCTCAAATGGTTGGTTGGTATAGATGTGCAGAGCCCCCTAGTGTTATGATTCCCTTTATATGCCTGTCTGTGGTTCGGCTGAAAGTGGAGCCACGGAGATGAGCTCAGTCCAGACCTAACGGGTGACCAAGGCCATAGTCTCAAAGGGTCCACCAGTCACCATCCAACCAGTAAGTGTGGTTTCTTTCAACCGCTCCTTCTTCCTTATCAGAGAGCCCCCCCCAGATTTGCCAGGCGAAATAAACTCTCTTAGATTCTAAAAACTTTTGAGTCTATACAAAACTGTAAATATTCCTCAGAGGGGTAGTTGCTGAATTCCTCAGTCAGGCGTGAAAGAGATCAGTTTAAGTCAAATTTGTAGTTAAGTTGGAACATGTGCGTATTTAGCCTTACTGTAGGGTCACCACGTGGGGAGCCCTGGTGGCAGAGTGGTTACACGTTGGGTTGCTATCTGCAGGGTTAGCAGTTTACAACCACCAATCGCTCCAAGGGAGAAAGACAGGTCTTTGCGCTCCTGTAAAGAGCTACAGTCTCAGACAGCACAGCGGCAATTCGACTCTGCTGTGTAGGGTTGCTGAGAGTCGGGGTCAACTCCATCGCAGCGAGTATCGGGTCATCGAGAAGCCCTGCGTCGTGCATATTTGGTTTGCAGATGGTGATGGATGACAGTGGAAGCCCAAAATCCATTTTCAGGGTCCACACATGGCTCTACTCCCCAGTGAATCTTCTCTGACCATAGCTGAGAGAGGTGAAGAGCTCAGTTATCAGACAGAGAGTTTTGTAAAGTTGAGCATGGCAAACCCAGTTAGGTCAAAAGGTAATCATTTACCTTTGATCTCCCTTTAGACCCATTTTAATACTGTTTCAATTGAAAAAACAGTGAAGGGGAACTACATGTGGATGAAACCCCTGGTGAATCACCTCTGACCATGGACCAGGGGTGTGAGCAGCCTTGCTAAGATGCAGACTGCACTGGAAAGTGGGTTGTTGCAGATACAGCTAGGTTACAATTTAGCACCCTATCGTTTGATCTTCCATATGACCCATTTAAATTTGTTCGAGTTTTTAATGTTTTCTGCTTTCTTTTTGATTGAGGTTTTTATCTGTTTTGTTTTTCCTGTTTGTTTTGTTGTTGTTGTTGATTTAATGTTTTTCTGTATATGAAATCCAGGATAGGTATATTTATAGAGATAGTAACTGGATGATTGGTCCCTTGGGGTTATGGCAGAGGAGGTTGGGGGGGAATAGGGAGCTAATAATGTGAGTACAAGAATGAAGAAAATGTTTCATAATTGACTGTGGTGAGGATTGTACAACTCTTCTTGACGTGATTAAACTACTGAATTGTATGATATGTGAACTATGTGCCAATAAATCTGTAGAGGTGGGGTGTGGGAGCCTAGGTGGTGTAATGAGTTCTGAGTTGGACCTCTAACCCAAAGGTCAGCAGTTCAAACCCACGAGCAGCACCATGGAAGAAAGATGAGGCTATCTGTCCCCATGAAAATGTACAACCTCAGAAACCCACAGACTCCATTCTGCTCTGACCTAGGATTGCTATGAGTCCAAATTGGCTCAAAGGCAGTGGATTATTATGGTCACCAAGGAGCCCTGGTGGAATATTTGGTTACAAGTTGAGCTAAGGTCTCTGTGAGGCCGAGTTGACCTGATAGCAATCAGTTTGGCTTTGAGTTGGTCCCACTATGAGTCAGAATCCATTTGATGGCAGTGGATTTTCAATGCAAGAAATTAGCCTTGGTGACACTGTGGCTGAAGTTCTAGGCACCAGCCCCTCTGAGGGCTAAAGACGATGCTCTCTGGAAAGATGTACGGGAGCAGAACCAGCTTGATGGCAGCGGGCTTGTAGCAAGAAAAGTCTCAGAGCTGGTTTCAATGACATATCAGCTGCATTGCAGCAAGTGAGGGTGACCGAGACAAAGGATTCATTGTGAGTTGTTGCTGTTGTTCGATAGGAGTTGGTTGTGGCTCACAGCGACCCCGTCCCGTCCTGCGCCATCCTCACAGTTGTTCTTCTGCCTGAGCCTCTTGCTGCAGCCAGCTGTCAATCATTCCGTCTTGGTCTTCCTCCTTTTCGCTGCCCCTCTACTTTCCCAAGCACCATGTCCTTTTTGGAATGTCCTTGTGAGTAGGAGTCGGTTTATGACCAAATGAGGGGAAATTTGCATAACATTCAAGGGCAAGTACACATCAGATGTTTGTAACTTCCTTCAGAGAGTGGGTCCCACCTTGCCTGTACCCCGGAGGCACCCCAAGAGCTCACAAGCACTGGTGATGTTTCGAAGCTCCTTTCAAGTGTAGCCAGGTGGAGAGCGTCTGTCTCGGATTGCCCATGGCCCCAGTCACAGTGCGGATTCCCCCTGGGGCAGGTCTGGGAAGGCCCGAGACAGCATTTGTCACAAGGTCCCGGTGGTGACAGTGGGGGCCAAGCTACTGGTCTGATTGCACTGTCAGATGCCAGTGGCAGTTTGCATCGAGCAAGATGGCTGCCTGCTTCACGGGATGGGTGCGTGGCCAGAGGAGGGAAGGGGTGCTGAAAGTGGATTTGCAGTGAGGATAACCCTTCCTGCTTCCTCAGTTGTACCCAGGGTGGATCCTTTCCAGGCTATTTCGTGTGTCCCATCGTGGCTAATCTGGAGAGGACCACATGGAACAGTGTGTGTGTGTCCCAAACTACAGACCGTGCCGGTCAGATATGGCTGATCTCTCGGGTGAGTGGGAATGAAGACTTCTGCCAGTAAAGCCCCCATGACAAGGACCCGTCTGCCCAGCAAGCCCTTCCTGTCACCAGCAGGGACTCGGTCTGGATTATCTTTCCATTGCCTGCTCTCTCTTGGACGCCATTCTTCTCCCAGTCCACTGAGCATCTGGACAGAGCAGGACACACACTTTCCTGTTGCTGCTCACCTGCAGGCCTGAAGCCAGCACAGACCTGCAGTCACAGCACATTTGTGAAGGGTTTTCGTTTCCAGTGACTCCAGGGAAACAGACAGGGATTTTAACAAACATACGATGAGGAAACCTCTACCTGATCAAAAAGCAGCTATGTACTTGAAACATCTCCCAGAGCATTGGGAGCCCTAGTGGTATGGTGGGCTATGCGTCCGGCTGCTAACTTCAAGGTTAAAAGTTTGACACTACCACTCACTGTGCAAGAAAAAGATGAGGTTTTCTACTCCCATGACGATTACAGTCTCAGAAATCCACGGGTCCGATAGGGTGGCTAAGAGTTGGAATCAACTTGACCGCAGTGAGTGAGACCCCATGGACCAGTGGCCTGGTACTAGGAGGCCTGGTCTTCAACGAAATGTACATGGGTCTCAGTCTGCTTTCTCGGAAGCTGTGTCCAGAATTGGAAAGGGTTTTCACGGGTGTTTCCCTGAGGGAAAGAGGATCCCTGTTGGTGCTGTTGGGTAAGCGCTGCTCTGCTAAACAAGTAGCAGTGCCTTGGGAGAAAGATGAGCTTATCTGGGCCAGCAGGGGTTTACAGCCTCGCAAACCCTCCCCGGGTCTCTATGAGTCAGGAGACCTGATGGCTGAGGGTCCTTTTGGCTTTGAGTTACAGAGGGCTAGTAGACGTGCCTTGGGCATACCTAGGAGAAAGGAGTCATGCACTACACATTGGCCTGGGCTAAGCTTTTAGTAAAGAGCTATATTGCTTTCAAAAAAGAAATGCTTCAAACCATCACTCGAGGACCTTGCTATTCAGCATGTGACCGAATGGTTGCCAGAAGCACTGACTACATCACCAGATAACTTGTTAAAAATGTAGAGTCTTGGCCCCACCCCGACCTACTAAACCAGACTCTCCAGGATCCCCAGGTGGTTTTGTGTTCGTTTTCAGGTTTGAGAAGCACTGGGTTCTCAAACTTCAGGGCGTATACCAGAATCACCTGGAGAGCTACTGAAGGGTGCAGAGGCCCAGGCTGCTTGAAATAGGATAAGACGTGGGTGTTTGTATTTCGATCACATTCTCAGGAGATTCCGATGCATGCCAGGTGCTAGAAGCAATCCTCTATGTAGGTCACTAGTCTCCCCTTACTTTGTCTCTCCAGACTATAGCTTCTCATTGCTCCTCTTTCCTAAGCAAGGCTCAGTCTTCAGCCTGAAATCTGCCCTTCTCTTAACGCAGATCCTGTAGAATCCTCAACCCTATGAGTGGAGGCTGTTGAGAGGTGCCAGAAAGTTCGTACTGACCCGTAGGGACCCAGTGCACAAGAGAATGAAACATCGCCGGGCCCTGTGCATGTTG